AAACGGCGCTGCCGCTGCGATTCCCCGCCTGGGCCCTGCTTACACACAGAGTGTAGTGTAGTGTGTAGTGTAGTCTGTGTCTACACACACTCACTACACACACACAGTGTAGTGTAGACACACACTACACACACACTACACACACACTACACACACACTACACACACACTACACACACACTACACACACACTACACACACACTACACACACACTACACACACACTACACACACACTACACACACACTACACACACACTACACACACACTACACACACACTACACACACACTACACACACACTACACACACACCACACACACACTACACACACACTACACACACACTACACACACACTACACACACACTACACACACACTACACACACACTACACACACACTACACACACACTACACACACACTACACACACACTACACACACACTACACACACACACAGAGTAGTGTAGTGTAGTCTGTGTCTACACACACACTACACACACACTACACACACACTACACACACACTACACACACACTACACACACACTACACACACACTACACACACACTACACACACACTACACACACACTACACACACACTACACACACACTACACACACACTACACACACACACAGAGTAGTGTAGTGTAGTCTGTGTCTACACACACACTACACACTCACTACACACACACAGAGTAGTGTAGACACACACTACACACACACACAGTGTAGTGTAGACACACACTACACACACACAGAGTGTAGTGTAGTGTGTGTCTACACACACTACACTACACACACACTACACACACACTACACACACACTACACACTACACTACACACACACTACACACACACTACACACACACTACACACACACTACACACACACAGAGTAGTGTAGACACACACTACACACACACTACACACACACTACACACACACAGAGTGTAGTGTAGACACACACTACACACACACTACACACACACTACACACACACTACACACACACAGAGTGTAGTGTAGACACACACTACACACACACTACACACACACTACACACACACTACACACACACAGAGTGTAGTGTAGACACACACTACACACACACTACACACACACTACACACACACTACACACACACAGAGTGTAGTGTAGACACACACTCCACACACACTACACACACACTACACACACACTACACACACACACAGTGTAGTGTAGACACACACTACACACACACTACACACACACTACACACACACTACACACACACAGAGTGTAGTGTAGACACACACTACACACACACTACACACACACTACACACACACAGAGTGTAGTGTAGACACACACTACACACACACTACACACACACTACACACACACAGAGTGTAGTGTAGACACACACTACACACACACTACACACACACTACACACACACTACACACACACAGAGTGTAGTGTAGACACACACTACACACACACACTACACACACACTACACACACACTACACACACACAGAGTGTAGTGTAGACACACACTACACACACACTACACACACACTACACACACACTACACACACACTACACACACACTACACACACACTACACACACACTACACACACACTACACACACACTACACACACACTACACACACACTACACACACACTACACACACACAACACACACACTACACACACACTACACACACACTACACACACACTACACACACACTACACACACACTACACACACACTACACACACACTACACACACACTACACACACACTACACACACACTACACACACACTACACACACACTACACACACACTACACACACACTACACACACACTACACACACACTACACACACACAACACACACACTACACACACACTACACACACACTACACACACACTACACACACACTACACACACACTACACACACACTACACACACACTACACACACACTACACACACACTACACACACACTACACACACACTACACACACACTACACACACACTACACACACACTACACACACACTACACACACACTACACACACACTACACACACACAGAGTAGTGTAGACACACACTACACACACACTACACACACACTACACACACACTACACACACACTACACACACACAGAGTAGTGTAGACACACACTACACACACACTACACACACACTACACACACACTACACACACACAGAGTAGTGTAGACACACACTACACACACACAGAGTAGTGTAGACACACACTACACACACACACAGAGTAGTGTAGACACACACTACACACACACTACACACACACTACACACACACTACACACACACTACACACACACTACACACACACAGAGTAGTGTAGACACACACTACACACACAGAGTGTAGTGTAGACACACACTACACACACACTACACACACACTACACACACACTACACACACACTACACACACACTACACACACACTACACACACACAGAGTAGTGTAGACACACACTACACACACACAGAGTGTAGTGTAGACACACTACACACACACTACACACACACTACACACACACTACACACACACTACACACACACACAGAGTAGTGTAGACACACACTACACACACACTACACACACACTACACACACACTACACACACACTACACACACACACAGAGTAGTGTAGACACACTACACACACAGAGTAGTGTAGACACACACTACACACACACAGAGTAGTGTAGACACACACTACACACACACAGTGTAGTGTAGACACACACTACACACACACAGAGTAGTGTAGACACACACTACACACACACTACACACACACACAGAGTAGTGTAGACACACACTACACACACACAGAGTAGTGTAGACACACACTACACACACACAGAGTAGTGTAGACACACACTACACACACACAGAGTAGTGTAGACACACACTACACACACACTACACACACACACAGAGTAGTGTAGACACACACTACACACACACAGAGTAGTGTAGACACACACTACACACACACAGTGTAGTGTAGACACACACTACACACACACAGTGTAGTGTAGACACACACTACACACACACAGAGTAGTGTAGACACACACTACACACACACTACACACACACACAGAGTAGTGTAGACACACACTACACACACACAGAGTAGTGTGGTGTGTGTGTAGTGTAGTCTGTCTACACACACACACAGAGTAGTGTAGACACACACTACACACACACAGAGTAGTGTAGACACACACTACACACACACAGTGTAGTGTAGACACACACTACACACACACAGAGTAGTGTAGACACACACTACACACACACAGAGTAGTGTAGACACACACTACACACACACTACACACACACACAGAGTAGTGTAGACACACACTACACACACACACAGTGTAGTGTAGACACACACTACACACACACAGAGTAGTGTGGTGTGTGTGTAGTGTAGTCTGTCTACACACACACACAGAGTAGTGTAGACACACACTACACACACACAGAGTAGTGTAGACACACACTACACACACACAGAGTAGTGTAGACACACACTACACACACACAGAGTGTAGTGTAGTGTGTAGTGTAGTCTGTGTCTACACACACACTACACACAGAGTAGTGTGTGTAGTGTAGTCTGTCTACACACACACAGTGTAGTGTAGTGTGTAGTGTAGTCTGTGTCTACACACACACTACACACAGAGTAGTGTGTGTAGTGTAGTCTGTCTACACACACACAGAGTAGTGTAGTGTGTAGTGTAGTCTGTGTCTACACACACACTACACACAGAGTAGTGTAGTGTGTAGTGTAGTCTGTCTACACACACTACACAGAGTAGTGTAGTGTGTAGTGTAGTCTGTCTACACACACACACAGAGTGTAGTGTGTAGTGTAGTCTGTCTACACACACACTACACACAGAGTAGTGTGTGTAGTGTAGTCTGTCTACACACACACACAGAGTAGTGTAGTGTGTAGTGTAGTCTGTCTACACACACACACAGAGTAGTGTAGTGTGTAGTGTAGTCTGTCTACACACACACACAGAGTGTAGTGTGTAGTGTAGTCTGTGTCTACACACACACACAGAGTAGTGTAGTGTAGTCTGTCTACACACACACACACAGAGTGTAGTGTGTAGTGTAGTCTGTGTCTACACACACACTACACACAGTAGTGTGTGTAGTGTAGTCTGTCTACACACACACAGAGTAGTGTAGTGTGTAGTGTAGTCTGTCTACACACACACACAGAGTAGTGTAGTGTGTAGTGTAGTCTGTCTACACACACACACAGAGTAGTGTAGTGTGTAGTGTAGTCTGTCTACACACACACACAGAGTGTAGTGTGTAGTGTAGTCTGTGTCTACACACACACAGAGTAGTGTGTAGTGTAGTCTGTCTACACACACACACAGAGTGTAGTGTGTAGTGTAGTCTGTGTCTACACACACACTACACACAGAGTAGTGTGTGTAGTGTAGTCTGTCTACACACACAGAGTAGTGTAGTGTAGTCTGTCTACACACACACACAGAGTAGTGTAGTGTGTAGTGTAGTCTGTCTACACACACACACAGAGTGTAGTGTGTAGTGTAGTCTGTGTCTACACACACACAGAGTAGTGTAGTGTAGTCTGTGTGTGTCTGCACTACACTGTGTACACCTACACACACACACACACGTATACCTACACACAGTGTGTGTACACCTACACACACGTGTACACCTACACACACGTGTACACCTACACACACACGTGTACACTCAAGACAGTACCAAAAAACCAAAAATTTTAATAATCGTTGTGCATTCCTTCCTTACATCTCTAACAAACGCAGCCTCCGTATACTGACAAAGACCCCTCCTGAGGTGAAACCTTGAACAGGCTTGGGGCAAGAGCTGTGAGCTGCAGCACAACATCCGCCCGGCCGCCTTTGTCTCCCCAATACTGATGACTGCTACAACACGAGTCGGCCTCCGGGAGGACAGCCCCAGCGCCGCTTGTTCAGATAATCTGCCCAGTCGCCAAAGCACCTGTGCCAGGCTAGGTGCACTTCGAGGCCACGAAGTGTTGGAAGGTTTATTGTAGTCATTCACAGGCTGTGCTGTTAGCGGGCACCTGTGAAGACTCAGACACAGGGGGGGTGGATGCCCAGCACCACGCCCGGCCGCCTTTGTCTCCCCGTGCTAGCGACGTTCACTACGCTGCACCAGGTACTCGTTTTGAGGCCAAGTCGACCTAAGGGAGGGCCAGGGACGGGTCAGATAATGGAACTCCCCGGTGACACAAACCCCGCAGACGCCACGCGTGGAAGACGGACGGATCATCCGTGGCCTCGCCCCGGCCCTGACACCACCACCATGGCGGTGGTGGTGCACACAACCAGCAACACGAAATCTGGCGGTGGGGTTCAGCGGTGGGGTTCAGCCGTGGGGTTCAGCCGTGGGGTTCAGCCGTGGGGTTCAGCGGTGGGGTTCAGCCGTGGGGTTCAGCCGTGGGGTTCAGCCGTGGGGTTCAGCCGTGGGGTTCAGCCGTGGGGTTCAGCCGTGGGGTTCAGCCGTGGGGTTCAGCCGTGGGGTTCAGCGGCGGGGTTCAGTGCAGGTAGCTCCCACACCGCTCCCACACCGCCCCCACCACGAGAGCGACAGAGTGGAGCCCTCTCCTGAACAAGCAGCGTGTGTGTGGAGTAAGCGGATTGACTACCGACTTAAACTTTACCAGGTAAGCCCCCCGTCTTTAGGTAAAGTCACGGAGATCGGTCCACAATTGATTTAAATAAACTAACAAAAATCCACGACGTTTCGATTTAAAGCTTTCGTGACTGCAAGGATTCATCTTCTGTGGTTCTTTCGGTAAAGTCACCACGTAGAATGAGAATAAAATAATAAAATAAAAATTCCCACGACGTTTCGGCCACAACACAAGCGGCCTTCATCAGGTGAAAGGACGAGACAGCGCTGTCCTCCAGACAGTCTCGTCCCTTCACCTGATGAAGGCCGCTTGTGTTGTGGCCGAAACGTCGTGAGAATTTTTATTATTTTATTTTATCAATTTATTATTTTATTCTCATTCTACGTGGTGACTTTACCGAAAGAACCAAAGATCCACGACGTCATTTCACTCACAACACAAGCGGTCGTCTTCAGGTGGGGAAAAGGGGCAGGTGGGATGGTCGCTTGTGTCGTGATTGAAACGTCGTGGGGGGGGGTTTAAAAATAAATGTTGAACCTTTCTCCGTGACTTCACGGCAAGACCCAACGAACGAATTCCTGCAGTCGCGAAAGCTTCAAGTCAACACTGATTATGGAGCTCGTGTTCAGAAGTGACCTTGCTCAACGCTGCATCGCTCGTCACCACCAGCGTGGAATGTTCTACCAGCAGCCCTGAATGTTGCCACAAAGCGTGGCGACGTTGATTCGGGAAACAAAAAACCCCGCAGACGATCCAGCAGGCATCGTCGGGGTCGGGATAGAAGCCACGACCTCGTGCAGACAGAGCAGGCGAGGAGGGAGTGAACATCTAGCCACCGCGACAATGATGAGACACATGCAGACTCCAAACAGCAGCAGCAGCAGGCATCGTCAGGGTCGGGATAGAATCCACGACCCCCTGCGCACGCGGCGAGGGAGTTAACATCTCGGAGGGAGTTAACATCTCGGAGGGAGTTAACATCTCAGAGGGAGTTAACATCTCAGAGGGAGTTAACATCTCAGAGGGAGTTAACATCTCAGAGGGAGTTAACATCTCAGAGGGAGTTAACATCTCAGAGGGAGTTGACATCTCAGAGGGAGTTAACATCTCGGAGGGAGTTAACATCTCGGAGGGAGTTAACATCTCGGAGGGAGTTAACATCTCGGAGGGAGTTAACATCTCGGAGGGAGTTAACATCTCGGAGGGAGTTAACATCTCGGAGGGAGTTAACATCTCGGAGGGAGTTAACATCTCGGAGGGAGTTAACATCTCGGAGGGAGTTAACATCTCGGAGGGAGTTAACATCTCGGAGGGAGTTAACATCTCGGAGGGAGTTAACATCTCGGAGGGAGTTAACATCTCGGAGGGAGTTAACATCTCGGAGGGAGTTAACATCTCGGAGGGAGTTAACATCTCGGAGGGAGTTAACATCTCGGAGGGAGTTAACATCTCGGAGGGAGTTAACATCTCGGAGGGAGTTAACATCTCGGAGGGAGTTAACATCTCGGAGGGAGTTAACATCTCGGAGGGAGTTAACATCTCGGAGGGAGTTGACATCTCGGAGGGAGTTGACATCTCAGAGGGAGTTAACATCTCGGAGGGAGTTAACATCTCGGAGGGAGTTAACATCTCGGAGGGAGTTGACATCTCAGAGGGAGTTAACATCTCGGAGGGAGTTAACATCTCGGAGGGAGTTGACATCTCAGAGGGAGTTAACATCTCGGAGGGAGTTAACATCTCGGAGGGAGTTGACATCTCAGAGGGAGTTAACATCTCGGAGGGAGTTAACATCTCGGAGGGAGTTAACATCTCGGAGGGAGTTAACATCTCGGAGGGAGTTAACATCTCGGAGGGAGTTAACATCTCGGAGGGAGTTAACATCTCGGAGGGAGTTAACATCTCGGAGGGAGTTAACATCTCGGAGGGAGTTAACATCTCGGAGGGAGTTAACATCTCGGAGGGAGTTAACATCTCGGAGGGAGTTAACATCTCGGAGGGAGTTAACATCTCGGAGGGAGTTAACATCTCGGAGGGAGTTAACATCTCGGAGGGAGTTAACATCTCGGAGGGAGTTAACATCTCGGAGGGAGTTAACATCTCGGAGGGAGTTAACATCTCGGAGGGAGTTAACATCTCGGAGGGAGTTAACATCTCGGAGGGAGTTGACATCTCGGAGGGAGTTGACATCTCAGAGGGAGTTAACATCTCGGAGGGAGTTAACATCTCGGAGGGAGTTAACATCTCGGAGGGAGTTGACATCTCAGAGGGAGTTAACATCTCGGAGGGAGTTAACATCTCGGAGGGAGTTGACATCTCAGAGGGAGTTAACATCTCGGAGGGAGTTAACATCTCGGAGGGAGTTGACATCTCAGAGGGAGTTAACATCTCAGAGGGAGTTAACATCTCAGAGGGAGTTAACATCTCGGAGGGAGTTAACATCTCGGAGGGAGTTGACATCTCAGAGGGAGTTAACATCTCGGAGGGAGTTAACATCTCAGAGGGAGTTAACATCTCGGAGGGAGCGTCTTTCTCTAGGCCACCCACGCCACCAGCCGCCGTGGAATGGTGACGAACCGAGCCTCGATAAACAACCACCACCACCACCCACACGCACCGCCATAACCCCAACACAAGCTTCCCCAACACACTTTGATCACCAGTTAACAGGGGATGTTAACTACCTCGCCGGGTACGCAACGTGTTGTGCGTCTCTCTCCGTGGTGGTCGCTGCGTGGATATTTTTTTTTATCCGTGGGTCCTGCGGTTTTTCCCCTCCACATTTGAGGATTTGGCTGACGAGGATCTCGGCCACGTGGTTGAGCTGAGATCATTTGTTGATGGCCAGGTGGCTTCTGAACAAAGTGCTACAACTATAAACATTTAGTTTTAGTATGGAACTGAGTATGGGTCTCTATGAGTATGGGATTCTATGGGTCTGTATGAGTATGGGTCTCCGTAATGTCCACGTGATGGTGATGTCAGCCACGTGGTTGAGCCGCTATCATTGTTGATGGCCAGGTGGCTTCTGAACAAAGCGCTACAACTATAAACATTTAGTGTTAGTATGGGACTCTGTGGGTCTGTATGAGTATGGGTCTCTGTCTGTAATGTCCACGTGATGGTGATCTCAGCCACGTGGTTGAGCCGCTATCATCGTTGATGGCCGGGTGGCTTCTGAACAAAGCGCTACAGCAGCCCAGTGGGGCCTGACCCAGCAAAACGACAGCTCACCCAGGTGGTGGCTTCTCATCAGCAGGAGCCAAACGCTCTAAAACGCGCGGTGACGCCGATTCTCGACGAAGAGGGAATCCACGCGGTAACCACCACGGGGAGAGAGGCGCGCAGACTCCACGGCTCGAACCCACGACCTCCTGCGTGCCAGGCGAGACCGTTAACCTCTCCAGGCCACAGTGCAGCACCTCTATGCACGTTCAACTTCTCTCGCGCCCTACTGCACAGCAGCAGCAGCAATCATTGCCATGACAACCAGGCTGTCAACCACCACCATTTGCCGTCTCTCGTCGAGCTCGAGGTGTCGCCAAAGCTCCCCCAGGGAGCCTCAAGCAGGCTGCAGGGGCAAGTGCTGCAAAGCAGCCAGTGGCACTGCGCGTCCGGCAGCACGAGGCCCGGCAGCCTTCACCTCCCCACCCAGGTGCTGCACCGGCCACTCCATGCCGGGTCGACCTCAGGAGCTCGCTCATTCCTTCTTCACTCGCTCAGTCACTCAATCGCTCGCCTAGTCACTCAATCTCTCACCTAGTCACTCAATCGCTCCCCTAGTCACTCAATCTCTCACTTAGTCACTTACTTAGTCACTCAATCTCTCACTTAGTCACTCAATCTCTCAGTCACTCACTTAGTCACTCAATCTCTCACTTAGTCACTCACTTAGTCACTCAATCGCTCGCCTAGTCACTCAATCTCTCGCCTAGTCACTCAATCGCTCGCCTAGTCACTCAATCTCTCACCTAGTCACTCAATCTCTCGCCTAGTCACTCAATCTCTCACTTAGTCACTCAATCTCTCACTTAGTCACTCAATCTCTCACTTAGTCACTCAATCTCTCACTTAGTCACTCAATCTCTCACTTAGTCACTCAATCTCTCACTTAGTCACTCAATCTCTCACTTAGTCACTCACTCGCTCACTTAGTCACTCAATCTCTCACCTAGTCACTCAATCTCTCACCTAGTCACTCAATCTCTCGCCTAGTCACTCAATCTCTCACTTAGTCACTCAATCTCTCACCTAGTCACTCAATCTCTCACCTAGTCACTCAATCTCTCGCCTAGTCACTTAATCTCTCACCTAGTCACTCAATCTCTCACTTAGTCACTCAATCTCTCACTTAGTCACTCACTCACTTAGTCACTCAATCTCTCACCTAGTCACTCAATCTCTCACCTAGTCACTCAATCTCTCACCTAGTCACTCAATCTCTCACTTAGTCACTCACCATCTCCTCCACTCAACAGCTTGCTTGCTCGCTCACAAGGCCTTACTCCTTCATTGAAGATTGCAATTATCACACGTAGCTCTACCGTGCAGCCTCTAGCAGGCAAGTGCTGTAGCAGCAGCCGCAGCAGCGCCTATGAAGGCCGGCACAGCATACGAGGGGGTGGGTAGCCAGCACCACCACACCCGGCCACCTTTGTCTCCCCAGTGACAATGTTTTCACACTGCACCAGGTACTCATTTGAGGCCGAGTTTACCTAGGGGACACCCAGGACCGGTTCAGATAATCGTCACTGGCGGTGTTGGCCGCGAGCGGGAATTGAACTCGGGTCTCCGGGTTCGTAGTGCAGCGCTAACCACTACACTACCGCTCCCCACACTCAGACACACACTCGCTCAGACACACTCAGACACACACTCGCTCAGACACACTCAGACACACACTCGCTCAGACACAGACACACACTCGCTCAGACACACTCAGACACACACTCGCTCAGACACACTCTCGCTCAGACACACACTCGCTCAGACACACACTCGCTCAGACACACACGTAATGTTGAGCTTCTTACACCACCACCACCTTTGTCTTCCCTGCAGCTGCAGTGTGAATGGATTCCCCATCACGACCACTGCAGTGAAGGCCACGGTCGACAGCCGGGTGTGGTGGCGGGTTAAAAAGTCTGGGGACAACTCTCCCAGTGTCTCCGCTACGGCCACGATCCGCCCGGCGGTACGGGTTCAGCACCGCCACCACCCCCACAGTTAGTCCGACCTGCAGGTCGCCAGTGGTGGTGTCGCCGGTGGTGTCGGTGGTGGTGGTGGTGGTGGGGAAGGGTGTGGCTACGTCCCCTACCCTCCTCCCACGTCCCACCGGCCACTGCAGGTCCTGCAACTCCGCCCCGCGACGCCTCGCCAGCCGGTTTGCGTTTTTGGTCTCGCCGTCATCCAGCGTCCCGGGGGGGGCGGAGCGAGCGGCCGGCGAGAGGGGGGCGGTGGCGAGGTGGCGAGGGGGCGAGGGGGCGAGGGGGCGAGGGGGCGAGGGGGCGAGGGGGCGAGGGTCAGCCGCTGGCGTCCTCAGACGTCGTCGGCGTCGTCGGCGCCGCCCACCAGCGGAACGCGACCCTCGGGTCGCCGCGGTTGCGGCGGTTGCGGCGGTTGCGGCGGTTGCGGCGGTTGCGGCGGTTGCGGCTGTGCAGGGGAGTAGCAGGCGAAGGGTTCACATCCAAGGTCGTTGACGCCGCCGCCGCCGCCATTGCAGGCTGGGTTCTCAAAGCAGGCCGGGCCTCCGTTGAGACGCCGCATCTCCCGCTCCTGAGCCTTCAGCTTCTGCTGCTTCTGAGCCGACTTGATCCTGGTGTGGGCAGGGGTAACGGGGTGGTGGGCGGGGTGGTGGGCGGGCGAGTGGGTGGGGTGGTGGGTGGGTGAGTGAGTGGGGTGGTGGGCGGGTGAGTGGGTGAGTGAGTGGGGTGGTGGGCGGGTGAGTGGGTGGGGTGGTGGGCGGGTGGGTGAGTGGGGTGGTGGGCGGGTGAGTGAGGTGGTGGGTGGGTGAGTGAGCGAGTGAGTGGGGTGGTGGGTGAGTGAGTGAGTGAGTGGGGTGGTGGGCGGGTGAGTGAGTGAGTGAGGTGGTGGGCGGGTGGGTGAGTGAGTGGGGTGGTGGGCGGGTGGGTGAGTGAGGTGGGGGGCAAGTGAGTGAGTGGGTGGGGTGGTGGGTGGGTGAGTGGAGTGGTGGGTGAGAGAGTTTTGCGTGAGTGGGTGGGCCAGTGGGTGGATGAGTGATTCACCTCTTGCGGATGTACATGAAGGAGATTCCTCCTCCAGCCAGCAGGATGATCACCATCATGGAGATCCCAATCACATGACCTGCAACATCACCACCACCATCACTTCCAACACCACCATCACTTCCAACATCGCCACCATCATCATCAATATCATCAACATCACCACCACCACTGTGTGGGGAGGCCAGCTGCCCTTACCCATCATGCCCAGGTCCTTCTTCTGCCCTCTGCTGCCCGACGAAGACCTCTGAGCGTCGGGCAGCAGAGGGGACTTCCGGGCGGGTAGCGGGCCCCCAGACACCCCCGTGAGCTGGGGGGGGAGACAAAGACAAAGGTCACCCGTGTAGCCTCTAGCAGGGCTGTAGGGGCAAGTGCTGTTAGCGAGTAGCAGCAGCGCCTACCTCCACACACAGAGAGATATCACAATTATATCTCTTACACAACTCTACAGAGAGATATCACAATTATATCTCTTACACATCTCTACAGAGAGAGATCACAATTATATCTCTTACACAACTCTACAGGGAGATATCACAATTATATCTCTTACACATCTCTACAGAGAGAGATCACAATTATATCTCTTACACAACTCTACAGGGAGATATCACAATTATATCTCTTACACATCTCTACAGAGAGAGATCACAATTTTATCTCTTACACATCTCTACAGAGAGATATCACAATTATATCTCTTACACAACTCTACAGAGAGATATCACAATTATATCTCTTACACATCTCTACAGAGATATCACAATTTTATCTCTTACACATCTCTACAGAGAGATATCACAATTATATCTCTTACACAACTCTACAGAGAGATATCACAATTTTATCTCTTACACATCTCTACAGAGATATCACAATTTTATCTCTTACACATCTCTACAGAGAGATATCACAATTATATCTCTTACACAACTCTACAGAGAGATATCACAATTTTATCTCTTACACATCTCTACAGAGATATCACAATTGTATCTCTTACACATCTCAACAGAGAGATATCACAATTATATCTCTTACACATCTCTACAGAGAGATATCACAATTTTATCTCTTACCCATCTCTACAGAGAGATATCACAATTATATCTCTTACACATCTCTACAGAGAGATATCACAATTATATCTCTCACACATCTCTACAGAGAGATATCACAATTATATCTCTCACACATCTCTACAGAGAGATATCACAATTATATCTCTCACACATCTCTACAGAGAGATATCACAATTATATCTTTTACACATCTCTACAGAGATATCACAATTATATCTCTTACACAACTCTACAGAGAGACATCACAGCTCGAGGCTACACATCTCTACACCCACTCACTCACACCACCACTCACACCACCACTCACACTCACCCACCCACTCACCACCCCCACTCACCCCCCCCCCCTGCACTCACCACTCACTCACCACCCCCCTGCACTCACCACTCCCCTGCACTCACCCACTCACCACCCCACCCCCACTTACTCACCAGGCCTCCACTGGGCGTAATAGGTGAGGAGCTTGCCGGGCCCCCCACTCATACTCACCACCCACTCATACTCACCACCCACTCATACTCACCACCCACTCATACTCACCACCCACTCATACTCACCACCCACTCATACTCACCACCCACTCACACCCCACTCATACCACCCACTCATACCACCCACTCATACCACCCACTCACCACCCACTCACCACCCCACCCCCACCCGCTCACCACCCACTCACCAGGCCCCCACTGGGTGTAGTAGGCGAGTAGCTGGCCTGGCCCCCCACTGCGGAGGCCGTGGGGTCTCGCAGGGCCGGGGGGCCCCGAGCCCGGGGGGCCCAGGAGGAGGAGGGAGGAGGGGGCGACCGCTCCGCCTCTATGCGGGACGTGCCGCCATCTCCTACAGGCAGCACGCAGACACAGCCAGAGGTGCCCTGTGTAGCCTACGCAGACTGGATGACTAGGGAGCGCCTGTGGGGTGAATGTGTGAGTAGCTGGGTGTGTGGGTGGGCGAGTGGCTGGTTGGGTGTGTAGGTGAGTGAGTAGCTGGGTGTGTGGGTGGGCGAGTGGCTGGTTGGGTGTGTAGGTGAGTGAGTAGGTGAGTAGGGGAGTGGGTGGGTGAGTGGCTGGTTGGGTGTGTAGGTGAGTGAGTGGGTGAGTGAGTGAGTAGCTGGGTGTGTGGGTGAGCGAGTGGGTGATTGGGTGTGTAGGTGAGTGATTGGGTGTGTAGGTGAGTGAGTGGGTGAGTAGGGGAGTGGGTGGGTGAGTGGGTGGTTGGGTGTGTAGGTGAGTGAGTGGGTGAGTAGGGGAGTGGGTGGGTGAGTGGGTGGGTGAGTAGGGGAGTGGGTGAGTGAGTGGGTGGTTGGGTGTGTAGGTGAGTGAGTGGGTGAGTAGGGGAGTGGGTGGGTGAGTGGGTGGTTGGGTGTGTAGGTGAGTGAGTGGGTGAGTGAGTGGGTGAGTGAGTGGGTGAGTGAGTGGGTGGGTGAGTGGGTGGTTGGGTGTGTAGGTGAGTGAGTGGGTGAGTAGGGGAGTGGGTGGGTGAGTGGGTGGTTGGGTGTGTAGGTGAGTGAGTGGGTGAGTGAGTGGGTGAGTAGGTGAGTGGGTGGGTGAGTGGGTGAGTAGGGGAGTGGGTGGGTGAGTGGGTGAGTGAGTGGGTGGTTGGGTGTGTAGGTGAGTGAGTGGGCGAGTAGGGGAGTGGGTGGGTGAGTGGGTGGTTGGGTGTGTAGGTGAGTGAGTGGGTGAGTGAGTGGGTGAGTGAGTGGGTGGGTGAGTGGGTGGTTGGGTGTGTAGGTTGGGTGTGTAGGGGAGTGGGTGGGTGAGTGAGTGGTTGGGTGTGTAGGTGAGTGAGTGGGTGAGTGGGTGAGTGAGTGGGTGAGTAGGGGAGTGGGTGGGTGAGTAGGGGAGTGGGTGGGTGAGTGGGTGGTTGGGTGTGTAGGTGAGTGAGTGGGTGAGTGAGTGGGTGAGTGAGTGGGTGAGTGAGTGGGTGAGTAGGGGAGTGGGTGGGTGAGTAGGGGAGTGGGTGAGTAAGTAAGTTAGTCAGTGAGTGAGAGAGTAGATTAGTGAGTCGGTGAGGGTGGGTTAGTGATTTAGTGATTTGGTGAGTACGTGGGTGAATGGGTGATTGAGTGGCTGGGTCAGTGGCTTTCTGAGTATGTGAGTGGCTCAATGAGTGGATTAGTGGGTGGGTGAGTCAATGAGTAGGTGGGAGAGTAGGTTAATGAGTTGGCAAGTAAGTGGGTGGGTGAGTCAATGAGTGGGTGGGTGAGCGGGTGAGTGAGTCAATGAGTGGGTGAGTGAGTAGGTTGGTGAGTGGGCAAGTAAGTGAGTGGGTGAGTGAGTCAATGAGTGGGTGGATGAGTGAGTGGGCGAGTAACTGAGTGGACTGGTGAGTGGGTGGGTGAGTAAGTGGGCGAGTAAGCGAGTGGGTGAGTAAGCGAGTGGGTGGGTGAGTAGGTTAGTGAGTGGGCAAGTGAGTCTGCGAGTAAGTGAGTGGGTGAGTGGGTGGGTGAGTCAATGAGTGGGTGGATGAGTGAGTGAGTGGGCGAGTAAGCGAGTGGGTGAGTCAATGAGTGGGGGGGTGAGTAGGTTAGTGAGTGGGTGGGTGAGTGATTGAGTCAGTGGGTGGGTGAGTGAGTGATTGAGTCAGTGGGTGGGTGAGTGAGTGATTGAGTCAGTGGGTGGGTGAGAGTAGGTTAGTGAGTGGATGAGTGAGTAGGTTAGTGAGTGGGCGAGTGAGTGAGTCGGTGAGTGAGTGGGCGAGTGAGTGGGCGAGTGAGTGGGCGAGTGAGTGAGTGGGTGAGTGAGTAGGTTAGTGAGCAGGTGAGTGAGTGGGCGAGTGAGTGGGCGAGTGAGTGAGTGGGCGAGTGAGTGGGCGAGTGAGTGGGCGAGTGAGTGAGTGGGCGAGTGAGTCGGTGAGTGAGTGAGTGAGTGGGCGAGTGAGTGGACGAGTGAGTGGGCGAGTGAGTCGGTGAATGAGCGAGTGAGTGAGTGGACGAGTGAGTGGGTGAGTGAGTAGGTTAGTGAGTGGGCGAGTGAGTCACTGAGTGGGTGGGCGAGTGAGGTTGTTGTTGTTCCTGAAGATCTACAAGGTCAGCAAAGTCCCTCCCCCCCTTCCCTAAGCCTCCCTCCTCCTCCCACCACCCCCCTCTACCAGCATCACGTGACTGCTCCTTCTGGTTGGCTTCACCGTGCTTTACCCTACCACCCACCACCACCATAATCACTGCCATCACCCTATCACAATCATCATTCGTGTGCGAGCGGTTAGCGCGCTGAGCTATGAACCCGGCGACCCGACTTCGATTCCCGCTCATGGACAAATAAAAATACAAAAATATCTCAACTGGTTCTGAGCCTCCGGTTTATTGACTCGGCTTCAAGTGGCCGGTTCACCGGCGGCGGCGGCTGCGACAGTCGCCGCCGTGTTCACAAACCGGTGGTGGAGAGAATATCGCGACTCGGGAGGCAAACGCAGCCGGGCGTGGTGTTGGCTGGCCACCCACCCCCTCGTGTGCAAGTGACGGCTGCCTTCACGGGCGCTGCTACAGCACTTGCCCCCTACACTCTGCACCTAGCCTGGCACAGCAGTCAACCCACAGCACCTGCTGGGTCTGTCCCGTGACCTGCACCTAGCCTGGCACAGCAGTCAACCCACAGCACCTGCTGGGTCTGTCCCGTGACCTGCACCTAGCCTGGCACAGCAGTCAACCCACAGCACCTGCTGGGTCTGTCCCGTGACCTGCACCTAGCCTGGCACAGCAGTCAACCCACAGCACCTGCTGGGTCTGTCCCGTGACCTGCACCTAGCCTGGCACAGCAGTCAACCCACAGCACCTGCTGGGTCTGTCCCGTGACCTGCACCTAGCCTGGCACAGCAGTCAACCCACAGCACCTGCTGGGTCTGTCCCGTGACCTGCACCTAGCCTGGCACAGCAATCAACCCACAGCACCTGCTGGGTCTGTCCCGTGACCTGCACCTAGCCTGGCACAGCAATCAACCCATAGCACCTGCTGGGTCTGTCCCGTGACCTGCACCTAGCCTGGCACAGCAGTCAACCCACAGCACCTGCTGGGTCTGTCCCGTGACCTGCACCTAGCCTGGCACAGCAGTCAACCCATAGCACCTGCTGGGTCTGTCCCGTGACCTGTACCTAGCCTGGCACAGCAATCAACCCACAGCACCTGCTGGGTCTGTCCCGTGACCTGCACCTAGCCTGGCACAGCAATCAACCCATAGCACCTGCTGGGTCTGTCCCGTGACCTGCACCTAGCCTGGCACAGCAGTCAACCCACAGCACCTGCTGGGTCTGTCCCGTGACCTGCACCTAGCCTGGCACAGCAGTCAACCCATAGCACCTGCTGGGTCTGTCCCGTGACCTGTACCTAGCCTGGCACAGCAGTCAACCCACAGCACCTGCTGGGTCTGTCCCGTGACCTGCACCTAGCCTGGCACAGCAGTCAACCCACAGCACCTGCAGGGTCTGTCCCGTGACCTGCACCCAGCCTGGCACAAGGCGCCGTGGTGACGTCACCGCACCACTCAGTGACTCCGCTGTTGTTGTTGTAGCTGCGTGTGGTCGTCGGAACGGCGAGAGCCCATTGGCTGAGCCGCGCTGTTTTTGTCGCCTCCGATTGGTGGAGGAGCAGAGAGGCGGAGCTACGATGGGAGGGGTCCCTCTGTCACTAAGCGGCTGAGATGCCGTGAGCCGTGTGTCAGTGTGTGTGTCAGTGTGTGTGTGTCAGTGTGTGTGTGTCAGTGTGTGTGTCTGTGTGTGTGTCAGTGTGTGTGTCTGTGTGTCAGTGTGTGTGTGTCAGTGTGTGTGTGTCAGTGTCTATGTGTGTGTGTCTGTGTGTCAGTGTGTGTGTCAGTCTGTTTGTTTGTCAGTGTGTGTCAGTGTCTATGTGTGTGTGTCAGTGTCTATGTGTCTGTGTGTCAGTGTGTGTGTGTCAGTGGTTGGCACAGTAGGGGGCACAGGTGGTGCATCAGCCAGTCATCTCAGTCAGTCGACCCGTGGCACCTGGGTCTGCCCAGTGACCTCCTGCCAGCGGGCGTTCGACACTTCACGTGGCCTCAGGGTGCACATAGCCTGGCACAAGCGTCGTGGTGACGTCACCGCCACTTAGTGGCGAATGGCGGCTGTTGTTGTGTCAGTGTGTGTGTCAGTGTGTGTGTCAGTGTCTCTGTGTGTCAGTGTGTCTATGTCTGTGTGTCAGTGTGTCTATATGTGTCTGTGTGTGTCTATATGTGTCTGTGTGTGTATATGTGTCTGTGTGTCAGTGTGTATATATGTGTGTCTGTGTGTGTCAGTGTGTATATATGTGTGTCTGTGTGTGTCAGTGTGTCTGTGTGTGCCAGTGTGTGTCAGTGTGTATATATATATGTGTGTCTGTGTGTGTGTATTTGTGTCTGTGTGTGTGTCAGTGTGGCTGTGTATTGTATCTGTGTGTATTTGTGGCTGTGTGTGTTTGTGGATGGGTATTTGTGGCTGTGTGTCTGTGTGTGTGTCAGTGTGTCTGTGTATTGTATCTGTGTGTATTTGTGGCTGTGTGTATTTGTGGATGGGTATTTGTGGCTGTGTGTCTGTGTGTGTGTCAGTGTGTCTGTGTATTGTATCTGTGTGTATTTGTGGCTGTGTATTTGTGGATGGGTATTTGTGGCTGTGTGTCTGTGTGTGTGTCAGTGTGTCTGTGTATTGTATCTGTGTGTATTTGTGGCTGTGTGTATTTGTGGATGGGTATTTGTGGCTGTGTGTGTGTGTCAGTGTGTCTGTGTATGTGTGTCTGTGTGTGTCTGTGTGTGCCAGTGTGTATATATGTGTGTGTGTGTATTTGTGTCTGTGTGTGTGCCTGTGTGTGTGTATTTGTGTCTGTGTCAGTGTGTCTGTGTATTGTATCTGTGTGCATTTGTGGCTGTGTGTATTTGTGGCTGTGTGTATTTGTGGATGGGTATTTGTGGCTGTGTGTCGGTGTGTCTTGGCGTGTGTGTCCTAGTGTGTATTTGTTTCTGTGTGTCTGCGTGTGTGTCAGTGTGTCAGTGTGTCTGTGTATTTGTGGCTGTGCGTGTGTGAGTCTGTGTGTGTGAGTCTGCGTGTGTGAGTCTGCGTGTGTGAGTCTGCGTGTGTGTGTCTGCGTGTGTGTGTCTGCGTGTGTGAGTGGGGAGCGGCAGTGCACAGTCCAGCGGTGGCCACGCTGGGCCACGAACCCCGGCAACCCGGCGAGCCGAGTTCGATCCCCGCTCACGGTCAACACCGGTGACGATTATCTGAACCGGTCCTGGGCCTCCCCGAGATCGACTCGGCCCTCAAGTGAGTGCCCGTGTAGCGGTGTAGCGCAGGAAACATCGCTAGCACTGGGGAGACAAAGGCGGCCGGGCGTGGTGCCGGCCACCCACCCCCTCTCATGCGCCGTGCCGGCCTCCGCGGGTGGTGCCGCTCGTTAACAGCACGTGCCTCGAGCGAGCGTGAGTGTGTGTGTGTGTGTTCAGGCGAGACGCGAGGGGAAGCCATTGCGTTGAGGTACACCCAGCCTGGCACAAGCGCCCTGGTGACATCAACCTCGGCGGCTGCTGTTGTCTGCTTCCGTCCGCTGCTGTCGCACAGCCCTGGACAAAATACTTACCCGACCCCTCCTTCCCTCCCCGACAGAGCCTCCCTCACGCCATGCCTCCACCCCCGTGCCACCCCGTTATGCACAACCCCTGCCAAGCAACGCCCTTGAACCCCCCCCGCTCCATGGACAGAAGCTCTCTCCCCTCCTTCACTCTGCTGTTCGGACACGGAGCCGCCTCCCTGAACACACTGTCGGCCAGATCACCGATTCCCCGGTCTCGAGGCCTTCAAATGCCGAGCACAACACAGGCGTCTCCTAACGTCACCACGCGCCCTTGCAGGAGCGAGTATTTGAGCTGCAGTGAACCGATTCGTATGCCAATTAGACGTCGTAATGTCTGATATGGCTGTTGCGAGTGGGTGGGTGGATGAGCGAGTGAGCGAGTTGGGTGGGCGAGTGAGCGAGTGGGTGAATGGGTAAGCGAGTAGGCGGGTGAGCACGTGAGCGAGCGGTTGGGCGAGCGAGCGAGCGAGTGGGTGGGCGAGCGAGTGGGCGAGCGAGTGGGTGAGCGAGTGAGCGGGCGAATTGGGCGAGTGAGCGAGTGGGTGAATGGGTAAGCGAGTAGGCGGGTGAGCGAGTGAGCGGGCGAATTGGGCGAGTGAGCGAGTGGGTGAATGGGTAAGCGAGTAGGCGGGTGAGCACGTGAGCGAGCGGTTGGGCGAGCGAGCGAGCGAGTGGGTGGGCGAGCGAGTGGGCGAGCGAGTGGGTGAGCGAGTGAGCGGGCGAATTGGGCGAGTGAGCGAGTGGGTGAATGGGTAAGCGAGTAGGCGGGTGAGCGAGTGAGCGGGCGAATTGGGCGAGTGAGCGAGTGGGTGAATGGGTAAGCGAGCAGGCGGGTGAGCGAGTGAGCGGGCGGTTGGGCGAGTGAGCGAGCGAGTGGGTGGGCGAGCGAGTGGGCGAGCGAGTGGGTGAGCGAGTGGGTGAGCGAGTGGGTGAGCAGGGTTCTGGCTGTACCGGTGCACGGGCTGAGGGAGCAGTAGGCCCGGTGAGGCCCGGTGGAGCCCCCCACGGCCGCCACGTAGCACCAGGGGCTCAGCGCACCGTCCGGGTTCCGGCAGAAGTTGTGGTCTCCCACTCCTGGGGGTGGACACGCAGGCACAAGAGTCGTCCTCCTCCTCCTCCTCCTCGTCCTCCACTATCACCACCACACCTCCAACACCACCACCACCACCACCACACGTCCGCTCCTCATGCTCGCTCGCACACGCAGGCTGGATCGCTCAAAGACAAACACTCTCAACTCATTATGAGACCTCCTTTGCCAGAAACAAGATATAGGAATAGGTTTTACCCTTTTAACTGGCACAAAAACTGACACCTTTATTCAAGGCATCATGTTTGCAAAAACCACAACACAAGCAGTCAGAATGCAAACAAAAAAGACAACTCTGATAATATGCACTGTCCTTGAATTTGATTGGTCCACACCCGAGACAGCTTTTCTTAGAGCCTAGTCTCCATTGGTGTTGGACCAGAAGACGCCAAAAGGCGTCTTCTGGTCCAACACCAATGGAGACTAGGCTCTAGTCCAACACCAATGGAGACTAGGCTCTAAGAAAAGCTGTCTCGGGTGTGGACCAATCAAATTCAAGGACAGTGCATATTATCAGAGTTGTCTTTTTTGTTTGCATTCTGACTGCTTGTGTTGTGGTTTTTGCAAACATGATGCCTTGAATAAAGGTGTCAGTTTTTGTGCCAGTTAAAAGGGTAAAACCTATTCCTACTCTCAACTCATGCCAGCCCACTCACTCGCGCTCACTCAAACATTCACTCAAGCACTCGCCACCCACCCCCTCACAGCAGACAGCCCCGTACCGGTATTGCTGTCGGGGTGCAGCTCCGTGTCGTAGTCTCTGGTGCCCACCGATCTCCAGTTGAGGCAGCCTCTGGAGCCCGAGGTCTCGGACTCCGTGCCACGGTACAGCTCCCCCCGGCCCTCCACACAGCCTGCAAAGACAAAGGTCCACCGTGTAGCCTCTAACAGACTGATGGGGGAAAGTGCTGTTAGTAGCGAGTGGCACCACCTATGATGCACACACAGACAAAGCTTCCCCAGGTAGCCTCTAGCAGGGCTGTAGGGGCAAGTGCTGTTAGTAGCGAGTAGCACCACCTATGATGTACACACAGACAAAGCTCCCCCAGGTAGCCTCTAGCAGGGCTGTAGGGGCAAGTGCTGCTAGTAGCGAGTAGCACCACCTATGATGCACACACAGACAAAGCTCCCCCAGGTAGCCTCTAGCAGGGCTGTAGGGGCAAGTGCTGCTAGTAGCGAGTAGCACCACCTATGATGCACACACAGACAAAGCTCCCCCAGGTAGCCTCTAGCAGGCTGTAGGGGCAAGTGCTGCTAGTGGCGAGTAGCACCACCTATGATGTACACACAAAGCTCCCCCAGGTAGCCTCTAGCAGGGCTGTAGGGGCAAGTGCTGCTAGTGGCGAGTAGCACCACCTATGATGTACACACAGACAAAGCTCCCCCAGGTAGCCTCTAGCAGGGCTGTAGGGGCAAGTGCTGCTAGTAGCGGAGTAACAGCGGCAGCGCCTGTGAAAACTGAAGGTGAAATTCATAGCTCGCCTTCAGAAGCCGTCTGGCCATCACAAATGATAGCAGCTCAAGCAAGTGGCTGATGAACTCATCATCGCCATCACGTGGACATTGACAGCAGCAGCCAAATTACTCTCTAAACGCGTGATGCCGATTCTAAATGTGGAGGGGAAAAACCGGAGGGCCTGAAGATAAATCCACGAGACCAGGGGGAGAACATGCAGACTCCAAATATACATCAATACTATACAGCAGGCATCGAACCCACGACCTCCTGTATACCACGCGAGGGGCTGGCTGGCCAGCACCGCGCCCGGCCGCCTTTGTCTCCCTCGTGGCCATGCTTACACATCGCACCGGATACTCATTTGAGGCTGAGTCGACCTAGGGGAGGCCCAGGACCGGTTCAGATAATCGTCACCGGTGTTGGCCGTGAGCGGAAAACGAACTCGGGTCACCGGGTTCGTAGCGCAGCCTAGCGCTAACCACTACACCACCACTCCCCACACACACTCACCCCACACGCACACACTCACCCCACACTCACCCCACACGCACACACTCACCCCACACTCACCCCACACGCACACACTCACCCCACACTCACCCCACACGCACACACTCACCCCACACGCACACACTCACCCCACACGCACACACTCACCCCACACGCACACACTCACACTCACCCCACACGCACACACTCACACTCACCCCACACGCACATTCACCAACTCACCCATTCACCAACTCACCCATTCACCAACTCACCCATTCACCAACTCACCCACTCACCAACTCACCCATTCACCCACTCACCAACTCACCCACTCACCAACTCACCCACTCACCAACTCACGCACTCACCAACTCACCCACTCACCAACTCACCCACTCACCAACTCACCCACTCACCAACTCACCCACTCACCAACTCACCCACTCACCAACTCACCCACTCACCCAATCGGCCCAGCGCCCCCAAAGCACTCGCGCTCACCCACCAACACGAGGCGACCATCACACACACAGAGGCAGACAAAATCCCCGCCCCGTGCAGCCTCAACAGACCGTCAGCAGCAAGTGATGCGAGTCGCGAGTAGCAGCACCTACGAAGGCCGGCACTGAGGCGGTGGGTGGCCAGCAACACGCCCGGCCGCCTTTGTCTCCCCGAGCCACCACTCAGAATCAGTATTTATACTGCAGGAGGAATCCGAAGAGCGATAAAGCTCTTTTGTTACAGATGTCCAGTGGGGCCACGGGTAAGAACGTTCCACCACCACCAACACAAACGCACGATGCGAGCCCAAGAGTCAGGTAAACACATCGCCCAGACACAGACAAACACGACGACACTCCACTACGCCACTGAGATATTAACTTAATCCAGAAGCGACCTGCCGACCACAAACGAAAGCAGCTCAACGAGCGGCTTAACTTTTGATTTAAAACTTTCCTGACTGCAGGGATTCATCTTCTTGGTTCATTCGGTAAAGTCACGTAGAAGGGAAACAACAAAATAATAAATAAAAAAATATTTCGCCGTTTCCCTTCTACGTGACTTTACCGAAAGAACCAGGGAAGGCTACCCACCACGACATCTGCCAACCAACTATCTTAATAAGTGTGGCTATAAAGATAACAGCGCCTGTGTACATTGGCGCTGCTGGCGATTACGTAATGTTATTGGCGGTGTTTTTGGCAGCCAGGGAAGTTAAACACTTTAACATTGTTGACTGCTTGCTGGTGGTGTGAAATGTAGCTTATGTAAGACAGGCTTCGTGTGCGAGTGTGCGTGTCTGTGTCTTTGTCAGTGTGTGAGTCTTTGTCTCAATTATGCGAGTCTGTGTTTATCAGTGTGTGTGTGTCTGTGTTTATCAGTGTGTGTGTGTCTGTGTTTATCAGTGTGTGTGCGTCTGTGTTTATCAGTGTGTGTGTCTCTGTGTTTATCAGTGTGTGTGTGTTTATCAGTGTGTGTGTGTTTATCAGTGTGTGTGTGTCTGTGTTTATCAGTGTGTGTGTTTATCAATGTGTGTGTGTGTTTATCAGTGTGTGTGTCTGTGTTTATCAGTGTGTGTGTGTCTGTGTTTATCAGTGTGTGTGTGTCTGTGTTTATCAGTGTGTGTGTGTCTGTGTTTATCAGTGTGTGTGTCTCTGTGCTTATCAGTGTATGTGTCTGTGTTTATCAGTGTGTCTGTGTTTATCAGTGTGTGTGTGTGTTTATCAGTGTGTGTGTCTGTGTTTATCAGTGTGTGTGTCTGTGTTTATCAGTGTGTGTGTCTGTGTTTATCAGTGTGTGTGTCTGTGTTTATCAGTGTGTGTGTGTCTGTGTTTATCAGTGTGTGTGTGTGTCTGTGTTTATCAGTGTGTGTGTGTCTGTGTTTATCAGTGTGTGTGTGTGTCTGTGTTTATCAGTGTGTGTGTGTCTGTGTTTATCAGTGTGTGTGTCTGTGTTTATCAGTGTCTGTGTTTATCAGTGTGCGTGTCTGTGTCTTTGTCAGTGTGTGAGTCTTTGTCTCAATTATGCGAGTCTGTGTTTATCAGTGTGTGTGTGTCTGTGTTTATCCGTGTGTGTGTCTGTGTTTATCAGTGTGTGTGTGTCTCTGTGTTTATCAGTGTGTGTCTCTGTGTTAATCAATGTGTGTGCTTCTGTGTTTATCCGTGTGTGTGTCTGTGTTTATCAGTGTGTGTGTGTCTCTGTGTTAATCAGTGTGTGTCTGTGTGTTTATCAGTGTGTGTGTCTGTGTTTATCAGTGTGTGTGTGTTTATCAGTGTGTGTGCTTCTGTGTTTATCAATGTGTGTGTCTCTGTGTTTATCAGTGTGTTTGTCTGTGTTTATCAGTGTGTGTGTGTTTATCAGTGTGTTTGTGTGAGTCTGTCTCAATTATGCGAGTCTGTGTTTATCAGTGTGTCTATGTGTTTATCAGTGTGTGTGTGTGTCTGTGTTTATCCGTGTGTGTGTCTGTGTTTATCAGTGTGTGTGTGTCTATGTTTGTCAGTGTGTGTCTGTGTTTATCAGTGTGTGTGTCTGTGTTTATCAGTGTGTGTCTATGTTTGTCAGTGTGTGTCTGTGTTAATCAGTGTGTTTGTCTGTGTTTATCAGTGTGTGTGTGTCTGTGTTTATCAGTGTGTGTGTGTCTGTGTTTATCAGTGTGTGTGTGTCTGTGTTTATCAGTGTGTGTGTGTGTTTATCAGTGTGTGTGTGTCTCTGTGTTTATCGGTGTGTGTGTCTGTGTTTATCAGTGTGTGTGTGTCTGTGTTTATCAGTGTGTGTGTCTCTGTATTTATCAGTGTGCGTGTGTCTGTGTTTATCAGTGTGTGTGCTTCTGTGTTTATCAGTGTGTGTGCTTCTGTGTTTATCAGTGTGTGTGCTTCTGTGTTTATCAGTGTGTGTCTGTGTTTATCAGTGTGTCTCTGTGTTTATCAGTGTGTGTGTGTCTGTGTTTATCAGTGTGTGTGTGCTTCTGTGTTTATCAGTGTGTTTGTCTGTGTTTATCAGTGTGTGTGTGTGTTTATCAGTGTGTGTGCTTCTGTGTTTGTCAGTGTGTGTGTCTGTGTTTGTCAGTGTGTGTGTGTCTGTGTTTGTCAGTGCGTGTGTGTCTGCGTGTGAGTCTTTGTGTCAGTGTGTGTGTTTATCAGTGTGTGTGTCTGTGTTTATCAGTGTGTGTCTCTGTGTTTATCAGTGTGTGTGTGTCTGTGTTTATCAGTGTGTGTGTCTGTGTTTATCAGTGTGTGTGTGTCTGCGTGTGAGTCTTTGTGTCAGTGTGTGTGTGTCTTCGCCGGTTAGAAACATTTAGGCTAGCCTGCCTACGATCTATCTTGGGTTTAACCAGGCTGGATTGTGTGAGGAGCTCACAAATCCTTGAAAGATCTGGGCAAAGTCCCATCGGTGAGCTCCTCCGGCAGGCAAGGCTGCGTTGGCTGGGTCACGTAGCCCGCATGCCCAGCCACCGCATGCCCAGCCACACGGGCTAGAGAAGAGATGGAGTGATGTGGTACAGGAGGACGTGGAACTGAGTGGACTTGCCGATGACTGGTACCAGCGGTGTCAAGATCGGCCTCTGTGGAGATGGGCAATTGGAGGCAGTCGCCCTCCAACAACAACGGAGGGCGGAGCGACGCTCACAACAACGAGCGGAGCGCCGGGTGGCTAAAGCACAGCAGGTTGGCACAGTAGGGGGCACAGGTGGTGCATCAGCCAGTCATCTCAGTCAGTCGACCCGTGTCACCTGGGTCTGCCCCGTGACCTCCTGCCAGCGGGCGTTCGACACTTCACGTGATAGCCTCAAGGTGCACATGGCCCGGCACAAGCGTCGTGGTGACGTCACCGCCACTTATTGGCGAATGGCGGTTGTTGTGTGCGAGTGAGTCTTTGCGTCAGTGTGTGTGTCTGTAAGTGTGTCAGTGTGTGTGTCTGTCAGTGTGTGTCACTGTGTGAATATAATGTGGGGAGCGGCAGTGTAGTGGTTATCGCTACGCTGCGCTATGAACCTGGCGACCCGGGTTCGATTCCCGCTCACGGCAAACACCGCCAGTGACGATTTTATGAACCGGTCCTGGGCCTCCCCTAGGTCGACTCAGCATCAAATGAGTACCTGGTGCGATGTGTAAGCATCGCCACTGGGGAGACAAAGGCGGCCGGGCGTGGTGTTGACCACCCACCCCCTCGTGTGCCGTGCCGGCCTTCATAGGTGCTCGCTAACAGCACTTGCCCCTACAGTCTGTTAAGGCTACACGGGGGATCTTTGTCTTTTTGCCAGTGTGTGAGTGTGTCACTGTGCGCGTGTGTTAAATAAAACAACACAGTCTTTGTCGCCTTTAAGGGAAAATATAGAATAAACGTTTCGGGCACTGACCATTCGGTGTACACTCAGTCTCACACGCTCACCCACCGACCCACTCGACGACAAAGCTCCCCCGGGTAGCCTCTAGCAGGGCTGTAGGGGCAAGTGCTCTTAGTGGGAGCAGCGGCGATGTTTACTCCACACCGCACCGGGGTAGTCATAATAGGCTGAGTAGACCTAGGGGAGTCCCAGCCCCGGGGTAAAATATTGACCAATTACTGGTCCCCACCCATTCACAGAGCAACAACTCGAACAGGAGAGTCAACACTAACAACACTGTGTGATAATGGGCAACGTTTCGGACAATGGCCCTTCATCATGGCACACTGACACACTCACCTATCCATTCACACACTCACCCACCCACTTAATCATTCACTCACCTACTCACCCAGAATTTTTAGTTATACTGGAGGAATCTGATGAGCTATAAAGCTCTTTTTCACAAATCTCCATTACGTTAACACCCACCCACTCACCCTCACCCACCCACTCACCCTCACCCACCCACTCACCCACCCTCACTCACCCTCACCCACCCACTCACCCTCACCCACCCTCACTCACCCACCCTCACTCACCCAACTCACCCTCACCCACACCCACTCACCCTCACCCACCCTCACCCACTCACTCTCACTCACTCACCCTCACACCCACTCACTCTCACTCACCCTCACACCCACTCACTCTCACTCACCCTCACACCCACTCACTCTCACTCACCCTCACACCCACTCACTCTCACTCACCCTCATACCCAATCACTCACCCTCACTCACCCTCACACCCACTCACTCACTCTCACTCACCCTCACACCCACTCACTCACTCTCACTCACCCTCATACCCACTCACTCTCACTCACCGTCACACCCACTCACTCACCCTCATACCCACTCACTCACCCTCATACCCACTCACTCACCCTCATACCCACTCACTCACCCTCACACACACTCACTCACCCTCATACCCACTCACTCACCCTCACACACACTCACTCACCCTCATACCCACTCACTCACCCTCATACCCACTCACTCACCCTCACACACACTCACTCACCCTCATACCCACTCACTCACCCTCATACCCACTCACTCACCCTCATACCCACTCACTCACCCTCATACCCACTCACTCACCCTCACACACACTCACTCACCCTCATACCCACTCACTCACCCTCACACACACTCACTCACCCTCATACCCACTCACTCACCCTCATACCCACTCACTCACCCTCACACACACTCACTCACCCTCATACCCACTCACTCACCCTCACACACACTCACACACACTCACTCTCACACCCACTCACCCTCACACCCACTCACTCACCCTCACTCCCTCCCACCCACAGTATTCACCCTCACCCACCCACCCACAGTATTCACCCTCACCCACCCACCCACAGTATTCACCCTCACCCACCCACTCACCCTCACACCCACCCACTCACCCTCACACCCACCCACAGTATTCACCCTCACCCACCCACTCACCCTCCCACCCACCCACTCACCCTCCCACCCACCCACAGTATTCACCCCCAGTGTAACACCGTGGCCGTGCTTGTAACGCCACTGCCACTATCACGTCGCTTCAACAGCACGCAAGCGCCTTGCCAAGAGGCGGTGGCGGGAGGGAATTCCACGTTCCCGTGACGGGAGCCAGTACATCCACCAAGAGCAAACCAACCAACGCCGAGAGACGGGGATGAACGATGCGTTAACTTCACGGCAGGAAACTCAGCAATCGTAGAAGAGTTAATTTGTTTACACGCGTAGCTTAATCATTGTCAGCCGGCCGTTAGAGGCCGCTATAGCGGCGCAAACATCATCACTGCTGCTGCAACACACAACCAGGAGGAGGAGGAGGAGGAAATAGCCTGACAGCGACAACACTTCACACCGACACAATTAGTCGCGTTCCTGACACTTGTAGACAAAGAGCCGCGTACACATCGGCAGCTGTGGCATTGTTGTTCAATAAAACTTACCCGCTGCGACTCCGGCCGAAGCTCCAACTTTCACCATCATCGCCAGCAGCAGCAGCGCCACTGCCATCTCGCAAGGACAGCCGCCGCTAAAACAACGTGAACTTTTATGTTGAACAGAAAAAAAATGTTGTTCTACTTAAAGTTCCAATTGTTTATCTTTCGCCTCACGCTGTTGGAGGCGATGCTGCTGCTGCTGCTGCTGCCACCACAGCGCGCCCAGTCTGTTGAAGCCGGCTCGAGCTGGTAAACAATATGCTAATGAGGACCAGCGGGAGGGGGAGTTGGGGGGACCCGTCAGCCAATGGGATGCGGCGACGGAGCCTGACAGCCGAGGAAACGCGACGTGATTGGCTGGCGGCATCCGCGCGCCTCATTTACATACCGGCTTGGCGTTCCCCCCCACCCCAGCAACACGTGACGTCATCGCAGAGCGAGTGGAAAGGATGAGGGGAGGGTGACGTCACGACGCAGAGGGCGGGCGACAAAGTTGAGGGACAAAATTTCGATTTAAAGCTTTCGTGACCGCAGGGATGCATAGTCTTGGTTCTTTCGGTAAAGTTAAGTAAAAAACAATAAAATAATAAAAATATTGTTTTACATTTTTATTATTTTATTTTTTCCCTTCTATATACAACAATATTTGTTTATTATTTTGTTTTTTTTATTTTATTAAAATAATAAAAATATTGTTTTATATTTTTATTATTTTATTGTTTCCCTTCTATATAAAACAATATTTTTTATTATTTTATTGTTTCCCTTTATATAAAACAACATTTTTATTATTTTATTGCTTCCCTCTACGTCACTTTACCGAAAGAACCAAGAATATAAGTTGAGGGACGTCTGGACGGTGACGTCACGACGCAGGGGAGCGATCGCGGGAATTTAAATAATGACGTCATGAGCGTACAGCGGGAAGTTCAAAATTTTACGTCACAATGCAGGGGGCGAGAGCGGTAATTTAAATAATGACGTTAGGACGCAGAGAGAAAATGTATACGGTGACGTCACGACGCAAAGGGTGAGAACGTTTGAACAGTGACGTCATGACGCAGGGAGCGAGAGCGGGAAGTGTAAACGGTTACGTCACGACGCGGGAGCGAGAGGTGACGTCATTGCTGCCGTGCATTGGGTGACGTCATAGTGAGATAGTGCAGGGTAATGTTTCTATATTTTTTTCACCTGAAGACGATTGCTTGTGTTGCGATCGAAACGTCGTGATATTTTTTATTATTTCTCTACCATCGTGGCTTTACCGAATGACCCAAAGAATATTGTGTGTAGTGTATAGTGTAGTGTATAGTAGTGTATAGTGTAGTGTATAGTAGTGTAGTGTATAGTGTAGTGTATAGTAGTGTAGTGTATAGTGTAGTGTATAGTAGTGTAGTGTATAGTGTAGTGTATAGTAGTGTAGTGTATAGTGTAGTGTATAGTGTAGTGTATAGTAGTGTAGTGTATAGTGTAGTGTATAGTGTAGTGTATAGTAGTGTAGTGTATAGTGTAGTGTATAGTGTAGTGTATAGTAGTGTATAGTAGTGTAGTGTATAGTGTAGTGTATAGTAGTGTGTAGTGTAGTGTATAGTGTAGTGTATAGTAGTGTAGTGTGTAGTGTAGTGTATAGTGTAGTGTATAGTAGTGTAGTGTATAGTGTAGTGTATAGTAGTGTAGTGTATAGTGTAGTGTATACTGTAGTGTATAATGTAGCGTACAGTGTAGTGTATAGTCGTGGAGTGTATAGTGTATAGTAGTGTAGTGTATAGTGTAGTGTATAATGTAGTGTATAGTAGTGTAGTGTATAGTAGTGTAGTGTATAGTGTAGTGTATAATATAGTGTATAGTCGTGTAGTGTGTAGTGTATAGTGTAGCGTTTAGTGTATAGTGTAGTGTATAGTGTAGTGTATAATATAGTGTGTAGTGTATAGTAGTGTATAGTGTAGTGTATAGTGTGGTGTATAGTATAATGCATAGCAGTGTAGTGTATAGTAGTGCAGTGTATAGTGTGTAGTAGTTCAGTGTATAGTAGTGGTGTATAGTAGTGTAGTGTATAGTATAGTGCATAGTAGTGTAGTGTATAGTGTAGTGTGTAGTAGTGTAGTGTATAGTGTAGTGTATAGTGTAGTGCATAGTAGTGTAGTGTATAGTGTAGTGTATTGTGTAGTGTACAGGCGTGTAGTGTATAGTGTAGTCAGTTTAACACGTAGGCTTTCGCGACCAATATTATTCATAATAAAGGTGTTTGGGTTAGATCGCGTTACTTATAAATGTGTCGTAACCCTCCACCACCCGACACGGCCAATCAGCAAAAAAGTGTCACGTTGACAAAAGACAAAAATAGTTCACTACTTTAGCCCTCCGGTGTGTTGCAGAGTGAATCCACAACATTTACAGTTTGAGTAGCACGACGTTTCGCTGGTAACTACATCAACCAGCATCATCGGGCAATTCGCCAGAATGGTAAAGCCCTCTCCACTTGCTCCAGGTCTTAAATAGAGCAGCAGCAGGGTGACGTCATCATTGAACTCATATCAGGTGCAGTGATTTGAGGCGGAGGGGGGTATTGTAATTATATAATCGATTGGTAATCAGTCAATGGTTATGATTAGTAATGAGATGTAGATTAGTAATTAGTTGTAATATGCGTTATTGTGATCATATGCTACGTTAGTAATCCGTTAATTAGTGTTTCCCCTATAAGGAATTGTAATATGTATTATTTAATAATACGCTTCCAAGCCGCACTAAGCCTGTAGCTGTCAGAGCGATTAAAGTTATTTCTATTTCTCTCAATTTCAATGGATTCTCTAATTAGTCTTTGCCAGTAATAATTCGTTTTACACAACACTTCAACGTTATCAAAATCAATTGAGTGTCCTTGTTGGCAAGCATGTTCTGCCACTGCCGAAAGTTGTGTTTGAGATAATTTAATATTTCTCTGATGTTATTTTAGTCTTACGCTGATGTTACATCCCGTCTGTCCAATATAGCATCTGCCACATAAACAATTAATCCGATATACACCTTCTGTTGATAATTTAGGTAATGCATCTTTAGTGCAAGATACTAGTTTTTGAATTTTGTGTACTGTACCAAATCTTACTGTAATGTTTTGCTTTTGCAAAACACGGGCTAATTTGTCAGTTACTCCTGAGATATATGGAATTTTAATTGTTTTAACAATCTGATCGCTTTCAGCAGTGTTGCTTTGCGTTCGTGATTTGGCATTCAGTGCTCTGTTAATTTGAGCATTATTGTAGCCATTCTGTCATAGTGCGTCTTTAACGTGTTTGATCTCTCTCACTAGACTCTCACCATCTGACACTGTTTTAGCCCGATGTATGAGCGTCTTGATAAGAGATGATTTCTGAGCTGGATGATGATGATGATGATGCGAATCTGCATTCAGATAGGCATCGGTGTGTTTGCTTTCTGTAAACGCTGTGTGGTATTATTTTACTGTTTAGGCCATGTCCAAGCAAGATATTTAGGAACGGGAGTGTGTTATTCACCTCCATTTCCATGGTGAACTGGATGGCCGGGTTTTGTGCATTGAGATGATTTAGAAAATCATTAAGTGTATCCTTACCATGTGGCCAGACAACCAAAGTGTCATCCACATATCTAAACCAAAAAGATGGTACTCCATCTCCTCCACCACCTCCTCCTCCTCCACCTACTCCACCCCCTCCTACTCCACCTCCTCCACCTCCTCCTCCACCTCCTCCACCTACTCCACCTCCTCCTCCACCTCCTCCTCCTCCACCTACTCCACCTCCTCCACCTCCTCCTCCACCTCCTCCACCTCCTCCTCCTCCACCTCCTCCTACTCCACCTCCTCCTCCCCCTACTCCACCACCTACTCCACCTTCTCCTACTCCACCTCCTCCTCCTCTTCCTCCTCCTCCATCTCCTCCTCCACTTACTCCACCTCCTCCTCCACCTACTCCTCCTACTCCACCTCCTCCACCTCCTCCTCCTCCACCTCCTACTCCTCCTACTCCACCTCCTCCTACTCCACCTCCTCCTCCACCTCCTCCGAGTTGGCCGTGCGAAGTGACAATTGACTAAGAGTGATCCCCCCACCTGAGCTGATTGTGGAGCCACGACTCCACCCACTGGTGACAGTCGTGATGGTTGTGACGGTGGTGGTGATGGTGGTGATGGTGGTGACGGTGGTAGTGATAGTGGTGACGGTGGTAGTGATGGTGGTGATGGTGATGGTGGTGACGGTGGTGGTGATGGTGGTGACGGTGGTGGTGGTGGTGACGACGGTGGTAGTGATAGTGGTGACGGTGGTAGTGATGGTGACGGTCGTAGTGATGGTGATGACGGTGGTAGTGATGGTGGTGACGGTGGTAGTGATGGTGGTGACGGTGGTAGTGGTGGTGACGGTGGTAGTGGTGGTGGTGACGGTGGTAGTGGTGGTGGTGACGGTGGTAGTGGTGGTGGTGGTGACGGTGGTAGTGATGGTGGTAGTGGTGGTGGTGGTGACGGTGGTAGTGATGGTGGTAGTGGTGGTGGTGGTGACGGTGGTAGTGATGGTGGTGATGGTGGTGGTGGTGACGGTGGTAGTGGTGGTGGTGATGGTGATGACGGTGGTGGTGGTGGTGACGGTGGTAGTGATGGTGACGGTCGTAGTGATGGTGATGACGGTGGTAGTGGTGGTGACGGTGGTAGTGATGGTGGTGACGGTGGTAGTGGTGGTGGTGACGGTGGTAGTGGTGGTGGTGACGGTGGTAGTGGTGGTGGTGACGGTGGTAGTGATGGTGGTAGTGGTGGTGGTGACGGTGGTAGTGATGGTGGTAGTGGTGGTGGCGACGGTGGTAGTGATGGTGGTGATGGTGGTGGTGATGGTGGTGGTGGTGACGGTGGTAGTGGTGGTGGTGACGGTGGTAGTGATGGTGGTAGTGGTGGTGGTGACGGTGGTAGTGATGGTGGTGATGGTGGTGGTGATGGTGATGGTGGTGACGGTGGTGGTGATGGTGGTGACGGTGGTAGTGATAGTGGTGACGGTGGTAGTGATGGTGGTGATGGTGGTGGTGATGGTGGTGACGGTGGTGGTGATGGTGGTGACGGTGGTGGTGGTGGTGACGACGGTGGTAGTGATAGTGGTGACGGTGGTAGTGATGGTGACGGTCGTAGTGATGGTGATGACGGTGGTAGTGGTGGTGGTGACGGTGGTAGTGATAGTGGTGACGGTGGTAGTGATGGTGGTGATGGTGGTGGTGATGGTGGTGACGGTGGTGGTGATGGTGGTGACGGTGGTGGTGGTGGTGACGACGGTGGTAGTGATAGTGGTGACGGTGGTAGTGGTGGTGACGGTGGTAGTGGTGGTGGTGACGGTGGTAGTGGTGGTGACGGTCGTAGTGATGGTGATGACGGTGGTAGTGGTGGTGACGGTGGTAGTGGTGGTAGTGACGGTGGTAGTGGTGGTGACGGTGGTAGTGATGGTGGTAGTGGTGGTGGTGGTGACGGTGGTAGTGATGGTGGTGATGGTGGTGGTGGTGACGGTGG